AGTTTTTAGCCCCAAAGGGAAGGGGGTGCTTGCCTTAGGATGGGGGGGGGGTATAGGTAGCCTCACGATTTGAATTTCAATTTGTGTTTGAATATAGGCATTCGTAGGCCTGTGGACTGACCTTGTGGTGACGTAGGTGGTGCCCGGGACCAATCCCCGAGAGCATGAGCAGTTTAGGAGAGCCGACGGCTCCGGCAGACACTACCACCTCCCTCTCCGCTCCGACCCGTAACACCTGTGTAAACAAATCCTCACACTTGTGTAAACAAATCCTCACACCTGTGTAGACAAATCCTCACACCTGTGTAGACTAATCCTCACATCTGTGTAGACAAGTCTTCAACTACTTTAGGCAGACAAAACACAAATTAAATAATATGTAAGTGAATAACTGAGATATACATATCTACAATGAGAAATGAATGCAGGTGAAGCCAGTTTTAGATGAATTGTGGAGTGTCATTGAAGAAAATAATTGAGGAATATATGCAATCAATATTTTTTTACCAGGGAGTCTCTCATGTTTCAAAATGGCCAGTAGATTAATTAGTTTTATTTTTTATTGAAACATCCAGATGGCCAGTAGATTTACCAGTTTCATTTATTTCATGGATTTAAAAATTCGAGAGTTCTGGCATTTACGGCTTCGGCGGGTAGGCAGTTCCATGGGTTTATAACCCTGTGGGTGAAAACCATCTCCTGTTTCAGTCCTTCATCGTAGATTTTTCGAGCTTGACACCGTTGCTCCTTGTTTGTGTTACATATGATCTTTTGAAGAAGTTTGTCTGCATCAACATCTTCTAAATAGTTTAGTATATTTAGGATATAGACTAGGATAATTTAGGATAATGTATTTACATTAATACTCACCTTTCTTCCCAGTTTCAGTAAGACGCCTTTCGCCTGCTTCTTCTTGTTTATCAGCACCTGAAAACGTGTTGCGAGAACCGTCGTCAATACATTGTAAAATTAATGTTTCGTATTTATTTAAATTTATAATAAGTTCTGGAATTCATTCGTGTTTCAAACTCAAATTTATGCCTAGAATTTCCTGCAAACCCAATGATAACGTTTTCTATGACAAGACAAATTATCTTAGCATGAATTTTCCCCGTAGAGCTTGGAGCAGAGAGGGGGGGTTAGTGTAAATATTTTCACAGCCTAGCAAGACTGTTGTGGGTTGTAAGATGATGGCACTGACCCGTAAGACTGTAGCTGAGTGCAGGATGTGCAGGTTGGGTCTGGAGGAGGCTGGTCTGAGATAGGCTTCGTGGGTAGAACTTCTTGTGCCGTTACGAATTGTAAACTGGGAGTGAGAGAACCCTGGGAGGAGGTGGGAGGGCCAGGGTCAATATGGTGGGAGAATTACATTCCCACATTCTTAAATTACTTTCAAACACTAAGAACACACGACTAAAGAAAACTGCAGAAAGCCTATTGATCCACACTAAGTCAGCACCTATTTATATCCACCCCAAACTCATTCATATACATTGTCTAGCCTACGCTTGAAACAATCCAGGGATCCCATTATATACATTACTGTAGGCGACTCACCAATGCCACCGTGAGCGTTGATGTCTACGGTGGGGAACGCGAGCTGTTGACCCCCCAGGAAGAAGGCACGAGTTAGGGGTCCCTCTGGTCCTGGGGTCACCCCCAGGGGTCCTCCGTGACCCCTCACGCGATCTGTGTGACCATCATACCGAGTATAACATTATATATTATATGCATTCATTGCCATTTCCTCTGTTTCCTGGGGGTGGCGAGGCTTCTGCTAAGGATTCAGATATGAGTAAGATAATAAAAAATTATTATATATATATATATATATATATATATATATATATATATATATATATATATATATATATATATATATATATATATATATTCATATTCATTTTATCAATCGCAATACGGAATATTTTTGATCGTTTTGTCATGTTACATTTACCTATATCTTTCTTAACATTCTAATTTAATAGTTATTTTGTCTCCCTGCTTCAATTCCTTAGCTTTTTTTTTATAAAACTATTTTCTTAATACATTTCTTTAATATGATAATTAATTAATTTAGAGATATTTCTCTTGATTATTATTTTATTTAAGTCTTAGCTCTCCTCATGCTCCCATTTTCTTGTATGACACTGTCGTTTATTTTATATCTATTATGCAATAACTCAAATATGCAAAGTTGCAGAGCTTTATGCTATAATCCAACATTAGACTGCCTTAAACAGATATTTATACAACCATATTCAAGCCACAAAATGTAATAAAATAACCACAGGAAAAGAAAATCACATCAGCTTCTTTTAACCGGAACTGTCAACAAACATTGTCTACACACCTCTTGGATTGGGATGCCGGCCAAGAAAGTCTTCGGCTTTAATGAAGTAAGGGAGAACGGAGGCGTAGTCCCAGCCCGGGTTCCCTAGGGCCGCCCACTCGTCGTAGTCCCTCGGGCTGCCCCTCACGTAGAACATCCCGTTGATGGAGGAAGTCCCTCCTAACATCCGCCCTTGGATCACCCGACCTGCCTGCCAGGCCACTTGGAAGTTGAGGAAACGACAGGAGAAAGGTCTATTTGGTCGCTATTTGCATTTGCCTCACCACATACTCGTTCATATATACATGTGTTGATGCGTTTTGCCCGAAACGCATTGCGTAATAGTGGCTTTAGGCATTGTATGTACTAGCTCTATCTATATATCAATCCATTAATGTAACATCACTTGTATGTATGTACCTTACCTGAATAAACATATTTATTATTTTATTTATTTATGTCTAATCGATATGCAATCGACTTGAGAATGGTCCAGGACGGACCGAAACGTCGTCGTCCCTTCACTCCCCAGTGTGTGTGGTTTGGTCAACATGTCTAACCTACGCGTGAAACAGTTCAACAACTCTACGTCTGTTATGCTGCCTGGTAATGTGTTCCACAGATCAACAACCTTAACAATATATATATTTCACTTGACTCGTACAGACAACTCCCTCCCTCTCTCATTCGTCCTCTCTCCTTATTATTTCAGTCTCCCTTACATTCTTCAGCCCTCCCCTTTTCCCATTTTCCTATTCTCCCTTCCTTCCATTGTCTCTCTTTATCTCTTCCGTTCTCTCGAAGTGAGCAAAACATACTTGAGTAACGTTGAATCAACGTTAACAAATCCACAAGGGCGTGATGATGCTTCGAACCTACGTCCGAGAGGATCCCAGATTGTTCATTTGATGCATCACGCTATTGTGATTTTTGTGTGTATTGAATCAACGTTATTACGTTGATTCAACGTCATTACAGCCGAAAATGCGGGTTGGAAAACAATCTACGGGTAATCAAACCCATATTTCACTTTTCACATAGGACGCGTTGGATATTGCAACAGGAGCCTATCCTTCTTAAGGACAGGCATGGGGAGGTGGGGGGGCGTCGACCCCCAAACATCATGTGATTCTCACTATATAATCACAATTCACCATGGATTTTTTACATGAAGATATCCTTTTACATGAAGATATCCGCAACCATCTCACTACACACCTTTAACAAGACAAACAGATATTCTCTACATATCTTGAGGTTATCTTGAGATGATTTCGGGGCTTTTTAGTGTCCCCGCGGCCCGGTCCTCGACCAGGCTTCCACCCCCCAGGAAGCAGCCCGTGACAGCTGACTAACACCCAGGTACCTATTTTACTGCTAGGTAATAGGGATGTTGCAAGACAAAAAATAACACGCCTAATGACCACCTAAACAAAAAAATGATATACCAGTCCGTTCATCCTCACATTATTGACAAAGTTGCCGAGGGCGTTCTTCTGCGGGACGCTGGTGTAGCCCCAGTCATCACTGATGCCCGGGATGAAGTTGAAGTCCAGCAGCCCCGGCACGCGGGTTTCCGGGGGCGGTGGGCCCCCGGCCTCCACCAGCAGCACCCTCCAGCTGGGCACCTCCGACAGCCTGGCCGCCACCACGCTCCCGGCCGACCCGCCGCCCACTGTCGTGAGGGGGAGAGAGTTATCAGGGAGAAAGCACCAAGACATTAGGACACGGGCTCACCAAAACCCGTGCTACTTGGAACTTTTTGTTCCAGGTAGCGAATCTACAACAACAATAACAAGCCATTACGACTGTATAGTACTTGGAAGGGGTCAGGATAAGGATTTGGGATGGGACGACGGGGGGAGAGGGGTGGAGAGGAATGGTGCCCAACCACTTGTGGACGGTCAGGGATTGAACGCCGACCTGCATGAAGCGAGACCGTCGCTCTACCGTCCAGCCCAAGTGGTTGAGCGCAAACTGATAAGTTTAGCAAGAGGAGCCTGGGGGCCAGATTCACGAATTCACTTACGCAAGCACTTACGAAGGTGTACATCTTTCCTCAATCTTTGACGGCTTTGGTTACATTTATTAAACTGTTTACAAGCATGAAAACTTCCCATTCAACTGTTGTTATTGTTATAAACAGCCTCCTGGTGCTTCGGAGCTCATTAACTGTTTAATAATTGTAAATAAAGCCGCCAAAGATTGAGAAGAGATGTACTGGTTCGTAAGTGCTTGCGTAAGTGCTTGCGTAAATCTGGCCCCTGATGTGCTACTTCGCTAAGTCACTGTTCTGCCTGTTGAAAGTTTGTATATATATTTGTTTATAGATGCATTTTTTAATGCTATATATATACAATATTATATTGGTCAGAGATATCAAATAATATACACCTGGAAGATACTGGAGGGCCAGGTCCCAAATCTACACAGTAAAATAACAACGTACTGGAGTGAACGATATGGAAGAAAATGCAGAATAGAACCAGTGAAGAGCAGAGGTGCCATAGGCACAATCAGAGAACACTGTATAAACATCAGAGGTCCACGGTTGTTCAACGTCCTCCCAGCAAGCATAAGAAATATTGCCGGAACAACCGTGGATATCTTCAAGAGGAAACTAGAGTGTTTCCTCCAAGGAGTGCCGGACCAACCGGGCTGTGGTGGATATGTGTAGGCCTGCGGGTCGCTCCAAGCAACAGCCTGGTGGACCAAACTCTCACAAGTCAAGCCTGGCCTCGGGCCGGGCTTAGGGAGTAGGGTCCCAGAACTGCTTGGGGACCCTGGGGTTCTGGGAGAAGAACTCCCAGAACCCCATCAACCAGGTATCAACCAGGTCATGTAATGATTCATAACATGATGACCAAACCACACATCGGATGAACAAGCGACGACATTTCGGTCCGTTTCGGACCATTATAAAATCGTGTTATGATAATGGTCCATGACGGACCGAAACGTCGCCGTCTCTCCATCTTCTGATGTGGTTTTTTGGTCATCGTATCTTCAGCCACGTCATTGTGACTCGTCGTCTGCATTCATAAAATAATGGTATGTCCCATATGGTCCATACAGTATTGTATTCTGCTACAACATTGTAAGTATGCCACATGTGGGGATATACAATAACATACGTATATCATGTGTATTGAATTAACGCTGTAGTTTTAGTACCTGTTTAGCGTGCAATATTGCACGCTTTCACGCTAACCGTCCCTGACAAAGTTAGTCCGTCTTAAACATGATTTATAAAACTGTCTCTAACAAAAAATATATTGAATCTTCTTCCTTCTTGAGGTGATCTTGGGATGGGGTAAATCTCAAGAGAAACTCGAAGTCACCAAGACCAACATGAGCGTGTTAGAAAGACTGTTTATTGTTTTGGATTTAGCTACTGGGAACAAAAAGTTCCAAGTAGCACGGGCTATGGTGAGCCCGTAGTGGACTTACCTGGCACAGGAGCGGGGCAAGTAGCACGGGCTATGGTGAGCCCGTAGTGGACTTACCTGGCACAGGAGCGGGGCAAGTAGCACGGGCTATGGTGAGCCCGTAGTGGACTTACCTGGCACAGGAGCGGGGCAAGTAGCACGGGCTATGGTGAGCCCGTAGTGGACTTACCTGGCACAGGAGCGGGGCAAGTAGCACGGGCTATGGTGAGCCCGTAGTGGACTTACCTGGCACAGGAGCGGGGCAAGTAGCACGGGCTATGGTGAGCCCGTAGTGGACTTACCTGGCACAGGAGCGAGGCTGTGACTAGAGTCGTTCGAATGAAGTACGATAATTAAGGAAAAGTACTAAGCCAGTACCTCTATATAGAGCAGCCCGTCCTCCCAACGTCAAGAAACTGCCGTACTGAAGTGCCCTTATCCTAACCTACCAGAGAACCCAAAACAGAAATCGGGACAGTATATATCAATTTCGCGAACCGCTACCATTTTCTAGTACGACAATTTTTGGCCTTAGAGTATGCGTCAAAATGCGACGTTGTATTAGGAGGACAGGTTGTATACAGCACGCGGAAGGGGTGAAGGAACGGTGAGCAACCACTTTGACCATCGGGAATCGAACGCCGACTTGCAAGAAGCGAGACCTTCGCTGAAACCAACCGATGATGAAGTCGTAGGTAGAGAATATGTTGGTGGGGAAGTCTGTGGCTCCCGACTCCCGCGCCGCCTTCGTCAGCAGCAGGGATCGAACTAGGGGCAGCAGCACGTATAGCAGCAGGCCAATGGTCAACTCCCCCATCAGGTTGAGGAGGAGTCTAAGAACCATCTCTGAGGGCAGATGGAGATAAGAATGGTGGTGAGAGCTGGTGTCAACAATGTTTACATTTTCTGTACATCGATCTGGAAGGTATAACTTTAAAAATATATATGTACCGTTCCAGTAACCAAAGCACAACGTGGTGGCGAAAAAGGTATTGGGGTTGTGGCTGGTAGGGGTGTTTGGGTGGGTAGGGGGTGGTTGTGGGTTATTGGGTGGGCAGGAGAGGAGTGGTGGGCTCTGGGGGACATGGTGGGGAGGGATAAGGAGGAATATAACTTGATTACAAATGATTTAATTACGTAGTAAATCTGTGTGAAGACACTGGAAGGTACAAGTCACAAGTTATTTTAGTTTCCGCTTAAACTAAATTCTCCCGTAGTTATACATTCGCCAGTAGCCTAGCTTAAAATGGATTACCTTCACCTTAATTTACATTTCTACAGGCCCACACCTCCATCTGAAGCAATATAAATAAAATATACACCGAAAGGTAGATTTAACTTTTCAGTATATATAGATTTGAGAGTATATTTTTTTGTCGTGGACAGTGTTCAGGGCTGAGGGTATACTTTGTTAATCGTTACTCCTGGGAAAGTATAGGTTTGGTTCGCAACTCGTCCTCCTAATAGAGCGTCGTATTTTGACGTATACTCTACCTAAGGCCAAAAATCGTCTTACTAGAAAATGGAAGCGGCTGGCGAAATTGATACAGTCCCGTTTTCTGTTTTGGGTCCTCAGGTGGGCTAGGATAAGGGGCACTTCAGTACAACAGTGTCTTATCATTGGAAATCTTTAGGAGGACGGGCTGGTTTTTCGTGTTTTCTACAATAATAATAGTACATAACTGGAACCTTGTTAGTTACAACAGTCCACTTGTGTATATTTGACCAAATAGTTGCTCTAAGTGCTCTATCATTTCAGGAGCACGGGTTGTAGTGTTGTGAGAAAGAAACGCTTGTATTTTAAGCCCCACTTTCCACTTTTACTACACTAACAATGTGTGTGTGTGTGTGTGTGTGTGTGTGTGTATGTGTGTGTGTGTGTGTGTGTGTGTGTGCGTGTGTGTGTGTGGAAAAAAATTAAATTAGTAGTTAGTAACAGTTGATTGATTGACGGTTGAGAGGCGGGCCGAAAGAGCAGAGCTCAACCCCCGCAAACACAACTAGGTGAATACAACTAGGTGAATACACACATCCATAGGAAGCAGCCCGTAGCAGCTGTCCAACTCCTAGGTACCTATTTACTGCTAGGTGAACAGAGCATTAGGGTGAAAAAAATTATGCCCATTTGTCCACCGGGGATCGAACCCGGGCCCTTAAGACTACGACCCCAGAGCGCTGTCCCCTCAGCCGCGAGGCCCCTGGAATTTGTGTTCAGCCTCCTATGTCGTGTGCTAATGCCATTGCTTTTGCACTAATTGAACTCTTATAGCCACTTATTGGACCATATTTGCAATTTACCCAATACTTTATTCATCTTTTTACTCACATGTTTGTGGTTGCGGGGATTGAGCTTCAGCTCTTTGGTCCTGGTTCTCAAACGTCAGTCAACTGTGGTACAGGTTCCCGAGCCTATTGAGCTGAGTCATATCTACATGTGACACTGGGTATGGAGTCAGCCTCCACCACATCACTTCTTATTGCATTCCATTTGTTCACTACTCTGACACTGATAAAATCTTTCTAATGGCTCATTTGTGTATAAAGTTTGCACCTGTGTCCCCTTGTCACCATGTGTAATTACCTAATTATCTAAGTGTAGTTATAGGATGAGAGCTACGCTCGTGGTGTCCCGTCTTCCCAGCACTCTTTGTCATATAACGCTTTGAAACTACTGACGGTTTGTGTGTGTGTGTATTTACCTAGCTGTGCTTGTGGGAGGGTTGAGCTCTAGCTCTTTGGGCCCGCCTCTCAACTGTCAATCAATCAACTGATTATTTATTTTTTCTCCCACACATACACACACACACCGGAAGCTTCCCGTAATAGCTGCCTAACTCCCAAGTACCTATTTACTGCTAGGTTAACAAGGGAATTAGGGTGAAAGACACTCTGCCCATTTGTTTCCGCCCTCGCCGGGGATAGATCCCCGGACCCTACGAATCCCGAGCGCTGTCCACACAGCCGTCAGGCCCCTGCCCTCCTTGTGTGTGTTTGTGTGGTGGAATATTTTACCTATCACTTCTCCACTCTGTTCCTCTAAACTAGTCACAGAAGGCAGAGTGTAAATACGCATTTTATTTGCCATTATATTTTATATTGCTCTGAAGATGTATTATTAAATACGAAAGTACTTAAGGAAGTTTCTGTTTTAATTCTTCCTCCGTGGTCTGACACTGTCATATTGCCTGCCCGAAACGCTGCGCGTACTAGTGGCTTTACAAGAATGTAATTACTATGCTATGTATCCTCACAATCTCAATGTACCTTCTTGTATATATATAAATAAAATAAAATATTGCTCTGATTAAGGTATTATGTTATTGTCATTAAGTTCCCCCTGTAGGTGAAGGCGTTATGCCCGTTTTCTTTCACAGCGTCGGGACGCTAACTTTAGAAAACCTCGTCACGTCGCTGTATAATAATTTTAATTTTGTTGTTTCGGAAACGAAAACTTTCTATTAAATTAGACAGTACTGATCCCTCCCCTCCCCTGCTGGCTGTGACTGCCAGAGACAGGTGGTGAACTAAGCTTTCACCTGTACATAAAGACGGGGTGGATACGTCCCCATTGACTGTACAGTCTCCTGACAATTGTCTTCATAAAACTATAATAACTTTATCCATATATTGCATCACTGTAGAATCAGGAGTCACTACCTTCAAAACATCCGATCTTATATCTGATAGACAGTATGTCTCTGAGACATTCACAGTATGTCTGATTAATTCCCCCCACACTACTGCGATTAGACACTGGTGTCTATTAATCTTGTTTAAATTACCAATCAAGTTGTCAATGTAATCAATCAGAGCTTTAATATACCAATACCTTTTAACATACTAATCTCTCTCATCTCATTTTTTTCTTGCAATGTATCTGTTTTCATTTTATTAATTCTGCTAGAATTTACTTACTTAAAATTATTTGTTAGATTAAGGACCTGCCCGAAACGCTGCGCGTACTAGTAGCTTTACAAGATTGCAAATACTGTGTTGTGTATTCTCACAAACTCAATGTACCTTCTTGTATATAAATAAATAAATAAATAAACAATAATTAACGATTAAAATTAACAACGATTAGCGATTAACATTATAATCCACCGCTGCCCACTGGATGGGGGGCGGTGTGCAGGACAAACATATCAATTGTGACACTAGCTCTCCACATATGTCAGTTGCTTAATTTATAAACTATACTTTTGGTCGATCTCGAACCCATTGTTGATGTGACGACTTGTACTGAATTTTGTAACTATCTCATCAAGACTGTAACTTGCTTAGCTAAATGAATTGTGGGGTTCAGTCCCTGAGCCCATTATGTGCCTCTGTAACCTCCTTTCCACTACCCCCTACAGGATGGGTATGGGGTACATAATAAATGAACTAAACAAAACAAGGTTGTGTATTGACTGAATTACAAACTCCCACACCTCTAAACGACTTATTTGCTTAATATTAATACTATTTGCTCTCATTTTCTTTCATTTTCATTTCACAACTTTCATTTTCTCAAATACTAACCCATTTATACTGACACACTTAATACTGAACTAAAAGAAATCCGCAAATGGCTGAATACTATTATATACTCACCATTAACATTGAAACACACACACACACACACACACACACACACACACACACACACACACACACACACACACACACACACACACACACACACACACACACACACACACACTAAACATTATTTGACAATAAATCAACCAATCGAATTTAGCGCAGAGAAGAGGGGAAATACTTTGTCATAAGCAACAAATTGAACTGAAATCATATATAATATAAAAAATATATACATCTAAAGCTATAAGCATACCGAGTCAAAATCCAATATTTAGTTCGACCTAGATAATACTATATCAGTTATGGGGGGGGGGGGGAATTTGTGGCCTTTTATGGTACTTATAAAATACTTTTTTTATGAATAACAAAGGTACTGCGCCCTTTTATGGTTGTTATTGTTATAGATTCAGCGACTTGGAACAAAAGTTGCAGGTAGCACGGGCTATGGTGAGCCCGTAGCTTTTATGACATTTAGTGGTCTTTTCTATTGTATTCTGCCTTATATATATATATATATATATATATATATATATATATATATATATATATATATTCAAAGACTTTACACATACACAACTGAATAGAACTTACATATCTCCGATTTGTTTATATCTACATTTGAGTGATGGATATAGGGTATTAATTTCATCAACAATGTAATGTTGATGAAATATACCCTATATATATATATATATATATATATATTAATCAGTTTATACTTCTCGTAGCCTAGAGTTATGCGTGGCAGATCACGCTAATGTTGTCGTGTAGAGTGCGCGTGCGCCGCACGTGCGCCTGGAGTACATGCGGGCGTGCGCTTAACTACGCCCGCATGCTAAGGCATCCATAATTTCGTGGCGCCACGCCTTGCGTTTATAGGCGCCGGAAAACTTTCTTTTAAACAGTTTCAAATTTTCTCCTTTTTTTATATATATTTTTTTCGTTTCCTACATCATCCCACACAGGAATGTGGATAATGTAGAAATCATTATGAAAATAATCCACTCGTGGTGTAACGGGGGGTGGGGGGGAAATAGCTCTATCTTGTCCATTATTCCAACCCCCCAGTTAACTAACGAGGCCGGGAGAAACAGCTCTCTCTAGTCCGTTATCCCGTCCCCAGTTAGCTAACTATTCTAGAGCACCTCCAGAGTTCCTACGGCAACCTCTCTCGTTCAACACCTTGTAACCTAGGTATTCGACTACCTAGGTGCTAAGACTACAAGGCGCTGTAACTTGATCAGCTACCCGAAACTC